TGTACACTAGAAGGAAATGGAATACCATCAACTGTGGGAAATAGGTGCTACTTTCCAACTACTAAAGTAGAAACTCGAGATGAAAGAAAAAAAAATCAATGTTTTCAGGGAAAAAAAAAAGAATATGAATGGTCAATTAAGGTGACAACAGAATTAAAATTTCTTTTATTCCATCGTCAAACCCACTTTCATCAACGATTTAAGAAGAATAAAATGTCAGACACAGAAACCCTTGAATTAACTGTCACAGTTTCAACAGTTTATTTTCCACTGAGATCTATCAAATAAGCAATGATCCATTTAAGTAACCCTTCTAGCTAAAACAGAGCTTAACAATTGCAGACATAGTTGCAAAACAGAAAAACGCCAATCATCAAAAAACAAAGGTTGATTTACAAATATCCTACTGACTGCTGATTGCACCAAGTGAATGATACCATATATCTTTCACACAGGACTTAACTAATCACAGCAAGCCAAATAAAGAAAGAAATTTCATTGGTGGTATCATAAGTGTGAGGACCACTGTATAAAATTCATTGGCATCAAACAAATAAACAATTCAAATGCACATTTGTTTCAGCAAAGTAGAAAAGCAAGTAGAAACATACCCATTGTAAATTGTTGTTGGCCCCAGTTGGTCTGAAAATAGATACCTTTGGATGGAGCTGAAAAAGAAAAGACTTCATATCTCCGTAGAAATCACCATGCCTCTCCCAAGGCTGGGAAGCATAACCCCCATATATATAACCTTCATTATCCTTAATAATCAAGAAAGTTGGCCCATTATCATTTCTGCAGTTCAATTGAAATTCCATTTCACTCCTACTTAAAAATAGTCCAGGAAGAGAAAAAAAAAAAAAAAAAAAAAAAAAGCAAGGACTCAGCATTTACATTTTCTTCAGAAAACAATAAAAAGAATCAAATCAACAACAAAAGCAAATGTACACTTTGGAATGCTATCACCATTTTATTCAAGGGAAACCCGTGCCACCAATTTACATACTTGTGGAACATATGTATTAATGATATTTTCTAGCTATCACTTGCCCAACAAAAGAAAAAAAAAAAAAGAAGAAGCTTTTTATTTGAGCAAACTCATTTGAAAAATAAAATTAAAGCTGCAGCATTGGTGAAATACCAATTCAGAAGCTCACTTTATTTAATTGTGTAGGCAACAAATGCAACCCATGTACCTAAAACTAAGGCAGCAGTGCAGCAGTGGAAGGCATAACAACAACCATTTAGCATATCATTGAGCAATGGAATTAAGTAGCAATGAAAATGCAGGGAAATCCCAGGACAGTCACATGACAATCACAATAAGATCAAATTAGAATGGAATGCATTGACATATTTTCAGGTCCAAATTTAAATTGAGAAGAAATTCACCAATAAGTAATGCCGTGAGTTACAGAGACTTACAGAATCATGCAAAGAAAAGCTAACAAAAACTCATAGCTAAAATAGTTGCATGGAAGAGGCAAGCTACTTACGTTATGCTGCCCAAGAATGTATTGAAACTTAAGCCATTTAAAGTACTATGATACAGAAGTTTCCATTCCTCTAGCTCTTGCTGGGAAAGAGCTCCTCCTACATGCCAAGCATACTCCTTTCTCAGTAACAACATACTAGAATCAATACTCTCTAAATGCAGCAATTTAGGAACTTGAGATCCAGGTCGCCCTACAGAAAGCCCCAACTGTGTTCAGTATTTGGTCCAGAAATTAAATTGGGCTTATTAAAAATATTATTATATCTGCCAGCTAACAAGATAACAACTATCAACTGAATTTTGAGTACACAATTCATTGAGTTATAACATATGGAGAAAAATAAGTTTCCTTAATGAATCAGGATTGACCAAATTAAG